TTCTTTGGGAAATGTCCCCTGTGCCATTGACTTGGAGGGTAGGACAGAGAACTGAATACTAGGCTTTTTGTTATGTCTGATCATTGCAGGTTAATTGAGAAGGGAGTAAAATTCTTCCAGCGGAAGGTGGAGTCTTTTGAGGAGGTGAGCTACAGGGCTGCAAGAAGGTGGGTATGGAGGGGCTACTGGGTCAGGGGACTCATTCTCAGGCTCCCAGAGTCCCCATAAGCCTGCCCCAGACTCTAGGGCTTTTCTCAATCCCAGGAAGACCCAAGTATTATAAGGAGGAACAGTGGGATCATGGCAGCCTTGAGGGGCTGATTTACATCTGAACCTCAGTGAGTGTTGGGGCTGAAAGGCTGGCTGCTTTCCCCAGCATCAGCTGCACTCCACTCCCAAGGTCCCACTTGATTGCTTCCTACCGATGCCTGGGTTGATGTTTCTGCAAAGTTTGGCCCTCAGCTGCCTTGCCTCCAAAGTAACACCACCACCAATAGCGATGATAGTAGTAACCACCACCACCTGGTACCAACTAACTGCCAAGAGCTTTACTCATGACTTCATTCAGTCCCAGCAGCTAGAATCACGCTTGGCACACGGAAGGGGCTCAGTACACGTAGCTACTAGTAGCACATAATGAGGATTTACCTGTTCTGGGTCAGGCCTAATCAACACTTGAAACACATAGTTGACTCAGATGTACTCTTCATTCTCTAACACTGGCTCATAATTACTGGCAAACACTGGCTCACAAATAATAACAGTGCCTTACAATGTGCGTGTCCCATGACTGACCTGTGACAAGAGTCACTGGAGCGGGTTGGAGAGCTTGGGCACCTGTCATGCCACATCCTTGAGTTGCTGAGGTTCATACATAGACACAGCTGGGGGGTCCAAGCATGTCTTCTGCAAATGTCTTGGCAGAGTAGAAGGCAAGAGAATGAAATTAAAATAAGTCAGAAGAGGAAGGAAACCATCTCTGCTTCCTTTCTGACTTCTTCTGGGAGGTGCCAAGAAAGTTTCCCCATTCCGCAGAATTCTTTCCAAGCACGTTTATATCCAGAGTTGCATGAAAAGGCATTACTGGCCCCATATTATGCTAGAGGCAGGTGAGCTTCACAGAGGTAAGGGGACATTCCTTTGGTCACACATAGGGTAAGTGGCACAGCAGAGATTGGAGCCAGGACCACCTGATTCCTCATTGAGAACCCTCTCTGCTGTTCCTCAGGGAGTAGACAGCTACAGGGTAGGAGAGGCAGAGAGGGAACAGGCCCTACTTTGGTCCTCACCCTATGCTCCCCCCACCTTGGTTGCTGGCAGGTGGCAAGAGGAGGTGCGGATGTGATTGTTAACTGCACTGGGGTGTGGGCAGGGGCCCTGCAACCAGACCCCCTGCTGCAGCCAGGCCGGGGGCAGATCATTAAGGTGAGTGTGTGCCCTTTGGCTTTTTAGATTTTGCTTTTGCCTTGTTTTGGTTTTATTTGTTTGTGTTGTTTTGCTTTTGAGACAGGGTCTTGCTCTGTCAACCAGGGTAGAGTGCCAAGGTGTCGTCACAGCTCATTGCAACTTCATACCCCTGGGCTCAAGAGATCCTTCTGCCTCAGCCTTCCAAATAGTTGGGACTATAGGCCATGCCACCACACCCAGCTAATATTGTGTATTTTGTGTAGAGATTGGGTCTATGTTGCCCAGGCTGGTCTGGAACGCCTGGCCTGAAGTGAGCCTCTCGGCCTCCCAAAGAGATCAGACTACAGGCGTGAGCCAGCTTATTTCATTTCCAAGGATAGTGGACAAATCAGGAACATCTATTATAGGAGCCCCCCACCTCCACAGAGAACTGGAATGTTAAAGAAATAAGGACCAGCCCCTTCTCCGATGTGGCTTCCCCCAGTGTTCCCTTTGTGTATATGCTTCTTCCTACGCGGTACTATTGGAATAAAAACAGTAAACATTTATGGAGTGTTTACTAAGTGCTATAAGCACAGCCCTAAGCACTTTATTGTGTTAATTTAATCCTTACTACAACCCTTTGAGATGACACTATAATGTCACCATCACCATTTACAGAAGAAGAAACTGAGGCATAGAGGAGTTAAGTATTAATAACATGCAGAAGTTCACACAGTCGTCAGTGGTGGAAATGGGGTTAGGACCCAGGCAACTTGGTTTAAGAGCCATGCATGGAACCATGAGGGGATGCCTGCCTCCCCTGTGCGTGTATGTGCATGTGCACATATATATGTGTGCAGGCGTGTGTGGACATGTGTGTGTGTTTCTGATGGGAGCTAATATGTATGTGTTTACACATGTGTGCTGGGGCTTTTCTGTGAACAGAAAAAGCCAGGTGAGACTGTGCAATGCCTCAGGGAGCAGGGGCGGCTCTCAATTAGGGTTCCTTGTCCTGTAAGAGGCAAGTAGTCAGGTGCAGACTTGGGTCATCAGGATCCCGAGAGGACTAAGGAACCTGCATTGCCACTCTTGTCAGGACATCTGGCCACAGAGGGGAGCAAGGGCAAGAGGAACGCACTCATTCGGCTCCCCTGCTAAGACCTTCCTGTTTTGAATCAACAGGTAGATGCTCCTTGGATGAAACACTTCATTATTACCCATGAACCAGAGCATGGCATCTACACGTCCCCATACATCATCCCAGGGTAAAAATGGGACAGTCCTCAGCACCTTCCTGCTCTCTTTATGCCTCTGCGTCTGCCCCAGGCTCCTCACTTGGGCTCTGTAGTTGTTTTCTTCCCATATTTTTTTTTCTTAAGGGAATTTGAGCAATGAGATCCTTGGGAAGGCAGGACTCAGCCTTGATTAGGCTCTATTGTGAACATTCTTATGGATGATAGTAATGGTGATGCTGAAAAGAAAGGTCGGGAGTGTGATGGCAGTGACACCAGAAGTGATATAAATGACAATGATGAGAGTGGGGTGGGAATGAAGATTGGGTTGACAGTGATGATAATATTAATGGGGGAAGTGATGATATCAATGAAGATAGCAATGGTGTCGATGGGATGGCAATGTCATTGATGGAAGAACAGTGATAGAAAAGATAGCAGGACGGTATTGTTACTGATGGGGAAGGCAATAAAGATGGAGGTGGCGATGGCACAGGATGGTACAGTGATGTTAATGGGGTGGTGGGGTGTTGATGAGGAGATCAATGTTGACAATGGTGGTGACTGGGAGTAGGGATGATGGCAATGATACTATCAATGATGTTTATAATGTGGCAGAGATGACAATCCATCCCCTGTTGATGTGACTGCCTCAATGGTGATATTAACGGTGTGGCAGAGATGACAATGTCAAGGGTGATGTTAATGGCAGTGGTGAAATGGTGAATGGGGTTTATGGTGGTGACATACTAAGTGGTGAAGATGATGTTGTTGATAGAGATGACAGTATTGATAGGAATGTTGCTGCTGGTAGAAGAGTTAATGGTTGGTG